CACGCAGATGTTCGGACGGCAGAGTGCCAAGGATCTGTACCAACTGGCTCAGCAATCTGCACGAAACGGCGCGTCGTGCTTGGCAAACGCAGCATCCAGCCCTCTGCCATCGGAACACTCCGTTCAACTGGGGTTTACTATATGCACCCACAGCTTGCTGGGCCCTGAATCTCTCAACAGCGCAGCTAAGCTGCTATTGCATTCTCTGCCTCGTAGTGGCATGAAGTCAACCATTCGGCAAGTACTGTCCGTAGCTCGGCTACCGCTGTCTGCGTGAAACAGTCAGCCTTTGAGCTTCCTCAAAACTGGAAGCTGCAGGGAATAAGCTGGCTATTCACCCGCAAAACTGCAAGGCCCAACGACAAGCAATGAATTTTGTAAGGCGGCAAGCACAATGGCATCTCAAAGTGCAACTGCAAACCTGCAATGGTTCCACAACTTGGCGCATGTTTGGTGCTTTACTGATGAGGCTCGTGGAAGCACAGAGCCAGCAGTAATTACCAGTTCTGCTGCGCATGCGTTCTTTACTCTAGATCCCGAAGTCCCGGGTCATGTTCACCATCGCGGCCAAGACGACTACAGTCACTAGCAAAACCGCCCTCAGCATGTCAACATGAAAGATTCAAGACTGTACGTGATCCATAAATGCCATGGTCAGGCATACCAGTATTGAGTACCACCACCTTCAAACACCCTTTTATGGCCATCTGTGCGTCGGCCACTGGACACATTCGCAAAGCTAGCCTGCAATCGGGTAATCCTCACACTTGAGGGCCCTGCTGGAATATCCTGACTATCAAACATAGTCAGTTCAGTTTCTGAAAGGGGCTATGGTTTCTGAGAACCGCCCGATCCCTGGTGAGCGCTGCAACTTAGCCACGGTGCGCAATCTTCAGGCAGCACCGCACCTGTAAAGCCCTTGAGAGCCCCGAAATACTGCGGTGGTTCTCTCAAATCGCAGAACTCCCAGGCGAATTCATGCAGGAGTCAAAGCACGCTGAACAACTAAAAACGCTGTCAGACAGGTCAGTCACGACAGCCGTCGCCACTATTGGCCCTTCTTCCTGGGGTGCTGTTACGGAACTTAACAAAGTTACCATAAAAAGAAAACCCAAATATTTACTATGCTCTAAACCCTCAATCCCACATACCCTTATTATGGTAACTTCAGTCAAATTCTTTCAATCGCTAAGCCCTGACCCTAAATTCCATGTACCCTTGTTATGGTAACTTCATTTAAATACTTTAACAGCAACCCTAAACCCTAAATGCTAATCCCTAAACCCTAAATCCAACATACCCTTCTTATTGTAACTTCATTTGAGCTATAATCTAAACCCCTAGTATCCCCCTGAATAACCCCTAGAATAGTCCCTTTATAATCCCCTATATAACGCCCTTTTGAATTTAGACTATAGCTCATGTAGGTTCCTTAACAGCAGCCAAGCAACAGAATCTCCTGGAAGTTCCGTCCGAACCTCCGCGTTGCCGCAACCTGGGTTGCCGCTAAGCAAGGTTGCTATAACAATATTCATAATGGTCCTAATAATAATCAGAGTAATTAACAATAATGAGGATTAAAAGTTAATAGGGTTTAGGGCTTAAAGGTTGCTATGGTAAGGAAACGCCATTCTTTAGTATATACCTATGTTACGGTGACTTAAGTTCTGTTACTAGAACAGGGGAGCCATATTTCCTAAACCCTAAACCCCAAACCCGAAACCCTAAATCCTAAACCCTAAAACCTGTAGTCCCCCTTAAGTAAATAGAATATGGGGTATATAGGGATCTTGATATTATATACCCACAGCCATATTGTATCTACTGAAGGGAGACCATACAATACTTCTCTTAAGTTCCTTAACACCAGCCAAGCAACCAAAACCCAAAAATCCCTAAAAAAAACCTAAACCATAAACCCTAAACATTAAAACCCTAAAATCCCTAAAATCCCGAAACACTAAACCCTAAAACCTCTAAACCCCAAAGCCTACGAAACCCCTGAAACAGCAAACCGAGCAACCATGATATGTCTGCCAACTGGCGAACGCTGCAGCTTCGGCCAGGCTGAAGCCAACAGCTTCAGGATCCTTGGCTTAGGGTTTGTCGCTTGCATGGCCAATACAGCATCGCAAAGTTCATACTGGGAGTCCACTACACAACACCGGCCAAGGAAGGAACAGTGTCCTGAGGGTCCGAATGCACTAGCACGTTCTAGCACGGTCCATTCACTGGAGCTGGCAAACCCCAACTAACAAAACATGGACCCAGGGGAATACCCTACCCTACGACATCGACGGCCAGAGATATAACTAATGAACAGCGAATGAACACCGGCTCGCTCGACTGACTATGCAACACTGACGCAGCAAAAGTCGTGCAACAGCTATGCACTGAGCCTATATGGGCACCGCTCTTGCCAGCATCAGCAAAGACATCAGAAATCCACAAATGACATGGCACATCTCTGCATTCATATCACATGCACGTCTCGTGATGTTGTATGTCCAGGCCAAGACCATGCGGCATCGGCAAGGACGCTCCAAATCCGATAATTGTGTTGCAACCAAGATCTCAGCATGATCGTATTTCCATTCTCCTACTTCTCGTACTTCTCGTAGGGATTAGGGTTTAGGATGTGGGGCTTAGGGTTTAGGGCTTAGGGTTCAGGATTTAGGACGTAAGGTATTTAGGGCTTAGGGTGCAGGGCTTAGGGTGCAGGATTGAGGCTTTAGTATTCAGGGTTTAGGGATTAGGACATAGGCCGGCTCAGGATTGCACAGGTTCCTATTCATGTTTTAGTTCACGCTTGCTTCGTCAATGACGCTTGTGCTTTGCAATAGCCTCATGACGACACTGAGTGGGTTCACATAATTATACTTCGTTCTAAGCTTGTGCTGGCCTGAGGGCTTGCATCGCGGTTGACGGGAGACCGAGTCCGCGGGAGAGAGTGTTTTTTGCTCAGGGTTTAGGAGGATCCTTGGCTTGCAAAGACTCAAAAGCCCTCCCACTAGCGACAGCCATACCAAGTATTGTTGCACAGACTACTTCTCTTGCATGTTCGTTCCGGAGCGGCGTGCCCATGCCCACATGAGCTAGAGTCACTATTTCCCATAGAAAGAAATGAACGAGCCTTCCCATTAGAGAACCATATCAGGATTATGCGGGGCTATACTAAGCTACCAAAAGTGGACCCAAATGTCCAACCTTACGGCCCCTAGAATCCTAACCCCTAAAATACTCCCCTATGTAGTCGCTTATATAACCCCCTTTAAGAAGTTTAGACCCTGAGCCCCAAACCCTCTATAATCCCCTATATAACCCCCTTTAAGGAGTTCAAATTATAGCTCACATGAGACCACATCGAGCTTTAAGCGGCATCTCTTCTTCGCTGCCGCAGCAGCACTGGATGACACCTTGGCTGAACACGATAAGGGTTTAGGTGAATAATGGAAAAGAAAATGGAAACTACTATAGTGGGGTTATATAGGGTTTGGGGTTTAGGGGGACTTATTCCATGGGTTAATAATGGGGGTAACTAAGGTTACTATATGGGTTATAACACAGCATGTCTTTGCCAGTGGACATCTTCATCCATAAGCTGCTGGGCCTGCTGACATAAATTTAAGGTTTGGGGTTTAGGGTGTAGGGTTACCTGAAACTAGATATCAAACGAAGGGGCCACTTAATCAAATTAGGTTTGGGGGTACATTCTACGAAAGCTTGACAAGAATTACCAGGAATGGTATGAGCATTTTCTCAGGATTCTACATCACATAATCCCTGGAAACCCCCTATATGGACCCAGCTTCCATTTCATGGTACAACTTCTCTTCCGCATGACATGACTCTCCATTGAGACACTGTATATCATGCTATAACCCTGTAACTAGTATCAACCTAGCTTCCATGTACTTTTCCATTTAATTTGTCATTTGATACTCCATTCTTGAGCGTCCACGCTAGCAGCTTGAAATTGGAGCTGGCCACGTTGGGCGAGGTAGTTTCCAAAACGATCCAACAGAACCTGCCACGCAAGGGCCGCATGCAGCTTGAACCAGACTAGACAAAGATATTGCAACAAACAAATGTGATCCATAATACTGTTGATACTAAAAATCCTGCATGACCTTAATATACTAGCACCATATTTCCCAAGGTATAATGCACGACTTAGGGCCATGCAGGGATCTCCATATCCAGCGTATTGATGACAAGGGTCTATGAGATAACGCCCAAGCCCTGAACCCCGAAGCGATGCGGGCTTTCAACACAAGAATGCCTTTACCGGAAGTCCTAGAATACTTATCAGAAGGACCCAAATAAATTTGAAAACCTCTGCTGGGAATAAGGGGTTTCCAAAATTAGGGATACCCTTTCTGGGATCCCTGAAATGAGGACTATAGTTCATTGGGGTCTATATTGGGGTACCCTGATTTTTGGGAAACTACCTTATTAGCCATGGGCTTCCTAGTCCTAAACGCTAAACCCTAAGTCCTAAACCCTAAGCCCTAAACCCTAAGCCCTAAATCCAAAACCCTAATCCCTAAACCCTAAAACCTAAAACCTAAACCCCAAACCCTAATCCCTAAACCTAAAACCCTAAAACCTAAATCCTAATCCCTAAACCCTGCTGGAAATGTTGGTCATGCAAGGCCTGGCTAAGGGGTGCCTTTCCGGAAAGGTTGCTCTGAATCAGCTGCGCCTGGCATGCACTTAACTTACTGGTTCTTAAGGGGTTTAGGGTTTAGGATTTAGGGTTTAGGATTTAGGGGTTTACGGTTTTGGGGTTTTAGGGTTTAGGATTTAGGGTGAAGGGCTTAGGGTTGAGAGCTTAGGTGGCCACGGTTTAAGGATATATTTCCCACATTATTGTAACTTAAATTCAGTTACTATAATATGGCTATCGAGTAAATGATACGGATACCGTTTTATTTACTATATACCCATATTACGAAGACTCAATTGAGGCCCCGCAACAGCAACCCAGTTAAGTGATGTTAAGTGCGTTGTCCTTCTATCCACAGGAACTGTCAAAAGTTGAGTCCCTTTTGAGCACCCTCGACATCAGTAAATGCATTGAATTGGGGACCCGAAAGAAGGGACAATTCTTTTGACACGTCTGGGCAGCCAGTACATAGTCCTACCAGGTGCCGAGCAGTCAGTTGATATTGCTAGCAAGGCAGTGGTTTTTGATGGATAGCGCCCAATTTGAACAATCTCTGTCGATTCCTACTCTGCTATGCTCTGCACATCTTTGCGTTGACTTCTTGCGGCCTCACGTGCGCAACAGTTCTTGAATGATTCCATGCCTGCTCTCAAGTTGTCTAAATCTCCTGACAATCCCAATGCCAATGACCTTGCAAGACCTGAAGCTTCTGGCGGTTGCAGGGCAGCACAATCCCGGAACTACCAAACAGCTACACGCCAGATCTGGTATACCAGCTGCTGCGATGCATCCACATAACAGCGTTGCTCCTCGTGTACGTGCGGTCGGTTCCATACGTGAACTGAACTGCCAGCAGAAACGAGTTTGGTAGGAAGGCCCTTTAGAGTGCTCCAGTCAAGTGCATCAACAAGTTGTCAGGCGTATTATCACCATGGAAATGGCTATCGTTGCTTCTTTGTATTCTTGCTTGACACGCAGCTGACATCCGTCATGACGTTTTAGTACCATGTGATAGGCCCGATAGGCAGCAAGACCACAAACAACAGCACATGGTCTTTACTGTGGTTCCGCTACAATTCAACCTCAAACCCGATACCCTCGTCCTCATTACAAATATGCAGACCTCCGTAAACAGGGGCCCCAACATGATTGGCAAACAGAGCATCCCTGATTTTCGGATGCTTAAATTCACTCATAGCCCCATGTCACTTTCATCGTCAAATTCATTTTCTGTTGGATTCTCCCTTGTTGGGGTAATATTCTCAATTTTCGGAAGCCCTACACCCTATACATCCCCATATACCTTCTATATATAAACATCCCTTACAACACGTCAATCTGTATATATCCTACACCCTAAAGCTTAAATCGGGTCCCTTTAAGGCAGAGACTTTTTTTGCAAAGCTGTGGCTCGCTTTTTTTAAAGGCGTGGCTCGCCCCTTTTTGGTCTGCGAACGCTTCAAATGCTGCAAATTACCGCATTCGCTGGTCTCTAAACCTGTCAAACGCTGTAAATTATAGCGATGCCTAGCCCTCCCTCACTGCAAACATGGTGATAACATGATGCGTCTTGTTTTTTCTTGGAAGCATGGATGGCCCAAGAAACTCCGAGGGTAACGGCGACGACAGTTACGCGGATCGCGACCCCGACCCCCACGATCTCTGTGACTGCTTTCAAACTCCAAGAGGATCCGAAGGTCGAAAAGGGATGACAGTTACGCGGATCGCGGCCCCGAGCCCCACGAGCCCTGTGACTGTTGACACTTTTCAAAATCCAGGAGGATCCGTTTGTCTAAAAGCAACCATGGCCAGCTTGGGGTTTGGGACTACAGCCCCTGATTTTGTGGGGAATGAAAGAATGGGCTTAGGGGCTATAATTCGGGGTCAAATGATAAGGACTGGGGCCCATTCCTCCCAATTGCTTGAACCCTGCCGTCGATCTTTGGCAGCAGAAGAGGCTGCTACCCCAATCCGACCACAAAAGCTGTCAGGACCAGTGGGGATGCAGGAAATCTTGCACCATCTTGTATGCCAGAATTCTGAGATTTCTAAATAATGCAAAATCTAGGACCCTAGCAGCAGAGAATCACAGGTTCACGGGACCAGAGGACCACAGCCAGAGGACCAGAGGACCTCAGGACCAGAGGACCATAGGACAGGAACTGCCTAGGTCCTGGGAGCGGGCATTTAAGCTTGTTTTACGCAGCTCATTTAGCTAACTGTTCATGCTTCTCAAAATTTCTGATTCTTAAATGCTTAACAAAGTTGTTTGATGCCTATGCCCGACTTGAAAATGCATGATGACCTGATGATGGGAACGACCAGACCACGGGACCAGGGGATTAAAAGAAAAGCATGGGACCAAAGGACCAAATGACCACCAGGACTGAACCACATTGGAACGCTTCAAATGCTGCAAATTACAGTGTTTGCTGGTCTTGGCAAAAATGCTGCTGATTACAGCATTTGCTGGTCTTGGAACATCTCAAATGCTGCGAATTACAGTATTTCACAAGAGCCGGGGGAACACAGGACCACCGGACCAGAGGACCAGAGGATCACAGGACCAAGGAACCAGAGCCACACCTTTGCAAAAAAAACTGGACCCTCCCTTTAAAAGGGACCCCAAACCCTAAACCCTCCGAAGCAAATCGAGGCTGGCCCCACCATGAGCTGCTTGCGAGGTGAGCGCAACTCTTCACAGCTACTGGACACCTGCTCAGGACCCCTGGGATCTTGAGGGATAATGGAAAAGAAAATGGAAACTACAGGGATTATAAGGATTATAGGGACTATATAGGGGTTATTATGGGTTTAGGGTTTAGGGGTTATATTGGGATAATGGAAAAGAAAATGGAATCTACTATCATGGGGATTATTAGGGCTTAAGGTTCAGGGTGTAGGGCGAATGTATCTGTGTTCCCTAGTCCAGAATTGTTCAATCATTCTTTCAGAACGCAATTTATACTATAAGAAAAACGATCTGTAAGCAGACTGTAGGGTGTAGTATTGATTGTTTTGTTTTCAGTCCATCGGATCGTGACGTCTGCGTGGCTCGGCACAGGGCTTTGCTTCAGTCCAGGTGTAGGGTTCACAGTTTAGGGCTAAGAGTTTGGGCACGCGCATCGCTCCCGGCAGAGCTAAGAGTTTTTTTTTGGGGGGTGGGCGGGGGGAGGGGGGGGTGGGGGGATGGTTTACTGTTTAGGGTTCAAATTTCAGGGTAGACTCCCATGAAGGCTGGGAAGATCTAGAAAGCAAAGGCTTTAGGGCTTTGTCACTTGTATGGCCATATGGCCTCGCAAGGTATCGCTGCAGATGATTCTTCAACTGGCCCTTGGTTCGCTAGGAATGAAGGAATTATAGTCCCCCCTAAGTAGATAGAATATGGCTTTGGGTATTATGTTATAATACGATCCCCATATAGCCCATATTCTATCTACTTAAGGGGGACTATAACCCTTGAAGTCCCTATATAAACTACGATAGTAGTTTCCATGTTTTTCTCCGCTCCTTCATTCCCAGCTTTCCGAAGGCCAGTCAACCTAGCATTAGAAAGGACATGCGCCTTTCCATTGCCAGCACACAAGCGGTTTAGGGTTTAGGGTCCAACTTTCAGACCAAACTTTCAGAGCAGACTCTCCTTGCAGCAGGATGGAAGGATCTAGAAGCCATACGGTATACTTAGGGTCGAAACTTTAAAGCTCAAGGAAGGTCCTGCTTGAAGTTGAAGATTTCCCATAAGTTCCCCCATCGCCCCTAGCATTATAAAGGCCATAAACTCTGACTCCAGCACCCAGATCCGCTCTCCAGGATGCGGTCAGGTGAAGTTGAAGCAATCTCGCAAGTATATCAAAGTATATTATAGCATATTCTAATATATCAGAATATATGATATTATGTTCTTATGTAAGGCAAGGTCATCTAAGCCCATGCTGAAGGTGTAAGTTGCTCCACTTGGGCAAGGCTGTTCTCATGAATCACAAGCAGAAGATGCAAATGGAGATACACCCTAAACCCTAAAGCCTAAACCCTATACTTCAGGAGCCTGAGAGGCCGAGAAAGTTGATCCTGGGGCATAGCGGCACATTTCATCACATTTTGACAGGTCCGACACCCATCTGGCCAATGAGAGCACAAGAAGTGTCAATTGCCTAAACCCTAAACCCTCTCTCTCTCACACGAAACCCTTAATCCTGAACCCTAAACCCTAAACCCTAAATCCTAAACTTTTAAACGCTAAATTCCTCTCCCATGCCTCCAAGCATCGCTCGAAGACGAGTGAGGCATGCCTTGGGCCCATATTCTGCTTCAGGGCTCTCACAGTAGACTTATTAGGGGTAGGACATATATACGTATATGTATGTGCATATTTGCATGTATGAGGTTTAGGGTTTAGGGGGAATATATTCTATAGGGATTTTATGGGGACTCCCTACTAACCACTAGTAAGTAGAAGTAGAGACATATCCTTCACATTGTGCCAGGCCACTTGTGCTTTGCAAACTTCAGGACGTTGGTGCTCAAAACGTCAAGGATGGCCTCATGCACTGGTCACCCGGCAACATCGATGAAGCTAACTCTAGGTCTTCCTCGCATACAATACCTACGCGGCAGTAGTTTCCATGCTCTTTTCCATCTCATTCCGTATTATGGGAGGGTAGTAGCCCTAAACTCAACCCTAACCCTCACATCTATATAGTAGTTTCCATGCTCTTTTCCATTGTCCCTATATAACCCTTATCTAACCCCTATATTGGCCTATATCACTCATATATATATATAGATATAGATATATGCTAGTATGATGTAGTAGCTTCCATGTTCTTGTCCATTATCCCGATGAAACCCAAATCCCTATATATCCGTGCACATGCCCATCCCTAAACCCTAAACCCTAAACCCTAAATCCTAAATCCTAAACCCTAAACCCTAAGGCTGAGCCACCTTGACATGGGACACGGTGCCATGCACCAATAGTGCCCGCAGCACATTGCTGCCAAAAAGATCTTTCAAGAGCTTTTCCACGTTCTCCTGGGTTGCTGTTAAGGAACTTAGTTTAAGTTACCATAATATGTACCCAAAAATCCCATAATATGCTATAATGTAGGAATATTATAGGATTTCCCTATGATATGCACCCAAAAATACCATAATATATTCTAATATAGGAAATGAAGCCCTATAATTGTAGCTTAACAGCGGCCCAGTCTCTGGAGTAAGCATGTTGTCGACGAGCTCGATGAGTTGGGGCTCCCGGGAGCAGTGCTCAATCAAGCGCTGCAGGACCCGACAGCCGTAGACATGAACTGCCACAGAGACCTAGGTTTCCCCATTAATGAAAGGGTTTAGGGTTTAGGGTTTAGGGTTTTAGGGTTTAGGGTTTAGGGTTTAGGGTTTAGGGTTCCCCAGTAACCCTGGGGTTGTATTCGGATAATGGAAAAGACAATGGAAACTCCTATAGGTTTATAGGATACATATATATATATACAAAGGAGTAGGTTCCCCAGTAACCCATTAATAATAAGGGTACCCTTTTTTCCTACTGTTCAGCTTTAATAAGGAGACCCCCAAAAAACAAAGGGCAAAAGGGTACTACTGGGGTATCTAGAGACGGCATGATCTCTGAGCTCTGCGATCAGAAAAACCCCAACGCGGGGCTCCATGAGCTCGATGCACTTTTGCAACACAAAGTTGGCATGGAGGTGCTGACAGAGGCTCAAGACTTGGCCCTTGAGTTCTGAGATGAAGGCCTGCTGAAACTCAGGCAGAGCCTCTCGCAAAGCTGCTTGGATGACCCGGCAGCCAAAGCGGTCTTTGGTTAGACGCAGCAGTGAGCCCTTCAAACAATTCGAGAGTGCGATCACTGATGGACCCAGCTTTAGGTCCTGGCAGTGGCAGAAGAGTTCACTGACGACACCCGCGCCATAAGGATGGCTGGCCAAACACGGCACTTCGGGGAGGAGGGCCGAAACCAGCAAAGTGGCCGCGTTGGGATTGGAGCTCAGGAATTTGCTGACCACGTCAGTCCCGTTCGGGCTACGGGCCAGCTTGGTAACGCACGCCTCAATCAGTTGAACATGAAGTCTACAAGCCACTGCAATATCCACCACAAGTGCATCCACGAACCAGCTAGGCAGGCGCATTACGAATCAGCTCTTTTATCTACATGTTTAACTATAAGGGGGATAGAGGAGGTCATAACATGGGTAGCACTTGAGTGTATTCCATTGTTTTCCTAACCCTAAACCCCTAAACCCTAAACACTAAACCCCTAAACCACTCCAGCTAACTCAGGTCGCCGAAGGACTATGTCCGAGATCCGCGGCTTCAGGCAAGCCGGATCGGCCTGCGGCATGAAACCACGATCTCCTGGGTTGCTGTTCTCAAATGAAGTTACTAAAGTAGGGGTATGTAGGATGTAAGGTTTAGGGTCTCTTTTTTTTGCGCGCCTATTTTGCTCTCTGCAGTGTTTAGGGTCTAGGGTTTAGGGTTACTATTTTAGGGAAAACTTAGTATTTATTATATATACCCATAATATGGTAACTTAATTCCTTGGCAGCAACCCAGTCTCGCTCGAGGAGGGTAGGAGCAAGTGGTCTCTCAGCTGCGCACCTCAAGACAGCAGTGAGAATGAGGTTTGGGGTTAGGGGTTTAGGGTGTAGGGGTTAAGGGTTTAGGGTTCAGGGTGAACTACCATCATTTCTGAGGAAGACAGTACTTCTTACCTTCTTTACTCCTTTTTGGCTCTACATACCCCATACACCCTTGCATGCCACTTCGTAACTTTATTGCCACCCTATTCTTTTCTTTGCCCAGTCACGCGATGCTAGGACTGGCCACAATCATGGGGGCAAACTCCTGGCAGGGCTTTGATGTCTGGGTTTAGGGTTTCGGGCTTTATTGTTTAGAGTTGGGTTTCGGGGTGGTGGTGATGGAGAATCAGATGGAAAAGAAACTGGAAAATGACATGGAAACTTGGATTAGGTCGGAGTTAATTCTGTATGCTACCATGCTATTGGGGTTGATCGGGAGCTCGTTTATGGTACCTTCTTCCTATCTGCTGATCTACTGTCGGAATGCCTGTAGGCTCGGCAGTTACCATCTCCCCAGACGTCAGCGCTTTAGGGCTTTAGGGTTCTAAGTTAAATCCAAAAACCCTGAGATCAGATTAGGGGGGCAAGATCTATGCATATCATGATTATGAAATCTCTCATAACCTGTTGATGGCCCAGCCCTTCCCCCCCGCACCTGCGACTTGTCCACAAGAACGCCCTGCGTGGCTAAAAGCCCCGGAGGCAAAAAGACTGAAGTCGGCATCGCGCGCCTGACTTGGGCATTTTGTTTGAGGGCTTTGGGGTTAGGGTTGAGGGTTTAGGGTCTAGGATATCTAGGGATATAGAGGGCTTCGGGCTTCGGGTCAAGTACGCAAACAAAGGGCAATTTTGCAGCAAAGTGGCGCAAGGGGATCAATGAAGACGTCCTCAGCGAGGTACCTCTCGGATGCTTTCTTCTGAGCCCTTCTTCCAGCTAAGGCTTGTAACAATCTTACTCCCAACATAGTACCAGCATTAGGAACAGCTAGCATTAGGAGGCAGACGGGGCAAATTTTAGATGATGTTCTAGGGGAACTGAGTCGCATTGCTGAAGTGAGCCGCCTCTTCCAGGCATGATCGCTGAGAGCGTCCACAGCACCTCTCCCAGGCACATTTGGAGGGTTTAGGGTTTAGGGTTTAGGGTTTGGCTGTTTTAAGGAAGTTGAATTAAGTTACCATAATGGCTGTATATAGTAATTAGCCGGGTTTCCCAAATAGAGTGACTTACATTCAGTTCCCTAAGAGCAACCCAGTTATCCCTCTTTCGCTTTTCTTGGTCTCATAAACAGGGAGGTTCAGTATAGACCCCAAAGGACCCCAATGATTGCCAGAAGGACTAGCAAGGAGCCACTAGTTTTGGGCCCCTATATTGGGATAATGGAAAAGAAAATGGAAACTATAGGGATAATAAGGGTTACATTGGGGATATACTGAGATAATGGAAAAGAAAATGGAAACTACTATTTAGGTTTTGGGGTTTAGGGTTTTCACAAAAGGGCACAGATACAGTTTTTGGAAAGCACTCATGTTTCGAACATGCGCCAACTAACTGTCACATATGCACGATGCGATGCTGCGCCTGAAGCTGCCTCCAACACCAGCGACTATCATAAGCTTCTAAGATTCTAGGCAGATTGCTGCAGGACAGGGGCACAGCAAGAGACACCGAAGCCGAAGCACCCTAAACTTCGAGCAGCTGCGCGCCTGACGCCAGCATCTAGAGAAGCGGAAAGTGAAAGCCTTAGTACAGACAAGGCTGCACGCAGAAGTCCACCAAACAAACGCATTCAAGCGGACCTCGCCTCAAATGGAAGAGCATGTTATACTCCAACAACCTATTCGTTTCCATTGCGAATCGCATTGTGATTTGGGCTCTCTAACGCCAACGCTGCATGTCACTTTGCCTTTGGCTGCTGTCGGGGTGCCGGTATATGGGCTGTTGTCAGCCGCAAAGCCGGCGACTCAGGCGCTACAGCTTTGAGGCGGGCGAAAGGAAGCATCGTCGAAACAGGCACTGACATCCAAGAACAGCATGCTTCTGGGCTACAAACACAACTCAGATGCTCTCTCTTCCTCATAAAAGAACTCATGATTACAGCTGCACATATCGGCAACCCTCTGTCAATAACTCAACATGATATGTCCATCTTGTCTGAGTCTACTACAGGGGCCTAAATAATTACCAATATCATTTTGAGGTCCATTTGAAGTAAATGCGGACAGATGTCATTGGCGTTTGAAGGTGAAACGGAGTGTGTATTACACTCAAGTCAGAGAATTAGCTACTGGGCAATGTAGTCAGAAAGAGAAGTGCGTCAAATTAGAGTTTAGCCAGGATGGCTTGAATTTGCTTCAAGATTTCATCAAATTGCTGGATCCATTCTTTAGATAAAGCATCAGACAAAGATCCATGGTTCGGGCAGTTACGTGTGATTTTGCTGGGCTCAGCAGAAAAGCGCATTAATTTGTGGCAGAAAAAACAAGTTTCGTTGCCACTCCAGCTAGGCTGGACGATATGAGATTTCGTTTTTGTCTCAGACATTTGAAGCCTGAGAAAAGTAGCAAGAGCGTCTTTAAATTTAGAAAATCTGTTGAGGGCGGCTTTGAAGCGACCCTTGGCGCCAGGTGCTCTGGGAATTGGTTAACGTATTTCTTCTGCCGAAAGATTCATCCAAGTGTTTAGAGGTACCTGCGTGATACAAGAAATGCGATGAATTTCATGCTGAGGATTGAGTCTCAAATCAAGCACCATGTTAACCCAAGGTGGCGGCGGCCTCTTATGTGCGAATGCAGGAATAGGCCCGTCAAGGGGGTCTTTCTGCAAAAAACATTTAGCCTGTGGAATTGCGTCAACAAAATCAGCCGTAGCAATGCGGATAGCAGTGGCATTGCAATGGTGATTAATGCGTATGGCCATGTTGTGCTGATGCAAGTTTTGGGCTGCTCCCGTGAGGTCGCAGCAATGTGCAAAATAAATGTCCTGAGGGAAACTAAGCTCAAGTGGGAAGAAAGGCAACCACTTACTCGGCAAAGGTGGGTCGTATAAGCTAAAGTGTTGTTTTTGTTGAAGTGCTAAATTAAGCAAATGTGCAGACAGTGCCTTAAATTTATATGCCGCCATACCAACATTTTGGCATTTGGTTAAGAATGGGGCAATTTTACCTCCAACTTGGACAAAGATGGCAAGGGCTTGCGACCATGAGGTCCATTTGAAGTACCGTAGACCATAGTTATATCAGGAATATTGAAACATAATATTGGTAATTATACTGCACTTATTTAGGCCCCTACATATTACCTCCATGTGGAAAGCAGCCCTGCCTCAAGGTGGGCCTTCTCTGGGCAAACAACCCACAACCGTCCAGGCATTGGTGTGGAAGAGGTGCCCTGCACCGGGGAGAATTTCTGCAAACCATTTCTAGTTAGCATAGGCCCGCTGCCCTGACAGCTCAGCTGCATTGCCCTCGCAATTCTTGGGGCTGCGAAGGCATGTTTGAGGGATAGGCCAATCGAACAACAAACCTGTCAAAATGGCGCCATTTTCAGTGCACGCTCTTGGTACGCTTGCCGACTCCTGCCGACCGCTTTCCGATTTGCTCGGGCAAGAGCACGCGGTTGAAGGTGCCGAGGAGTTGCACACAGGCGCTCGAGATCCTCAGCTCATCGTGCAGTAGGTCACAGGATCCAAAGGATTCGTGGTCCTGCCAGATGCGGACAAAAGGCCTCTGCTGGACAGCGAGCATGAGCCAAGGACTGCCGGAAGCTCTCTATCACATCCTGCGCACGGGTTTCAGGAGTCTCTGCCTCAGATGCTTCAGGACCCCACTACGCCTTATGCTTCAGATGGGCACAACCCCAGACCCTTCCCGACATGCTATATGGGTTGTTCTCAAAACTATGGGCCCCTTTTCGATTATTGGTTATTCTACGGCACCTAAGATTTAGGGATGCTAAAATGGGACCCTAATTCTGGGACCCCATATAAACCCTGTATATCCCTATATAAACCCTATATAACCCCCAAATAAACTCCCATATAAACTCCTAATTTTGGGAACTACACTGCTCAGGTCAAAATGGCCCCTGGTCCTGGCGCCAGCCACGCACAATTTCAGCCTCAACCTGCTGTTCGAAGGCCTGGAATGGACCGAAATGGGAGATTTCCCAACATTGGTATAGAGGGTCTTATGGGGATGTGTATATATATATATAGATATAGTGTACCTTTTTCAGGGGTTCCCAAATAGGGAATATAGTTGATTAGGGTCTAGATTAAGGTCCGCCTATTCAGGGAAACTACCAAATGGCTTCAAAAAACATGCTCTTCATTCTGCGCTGGAAAGCATCCCAAGACAACTGCATAGTTCCCCTTAAGTAGATAGTAGATGGCTTTGGGTATATTATAATAAGATCCCCATATACCCCGTGTTCTATCTACTTAAGGGGGACTATATACCCCAAACCCTAAACCCTAAATCCATTAACCCTAAATCCCCAAACCTTCAACCAGAAATTGTTAAACCCTACATCCCTAAACCCTAAACCCTAAACCCTTGGACTATACCCTTGGGAATCTTGGAGCCTGCGCCTTCTTGTCAGCAGGCCCGTCAAGTAACAGCTTCGTGGTCTCAGAGTGCCAACAAGCAAACGCAAAGAACAAAAGCACGCACAGCCGGAAAGAGGGTTTAGGGCTTAGAGAGAGAGAGAGAGAGGGAGAGAGAGAGAGAGATACAACATGTTGACCTACGTATGTGGACCCCGA